GAAGGGTGTATGGAAGTCCATGTTTTGTCTTTTTTAGGTTACACTAGTAGAAAAAAATATGATAGAAAAAATATAATAGAACCATTTATACAGCATGTGTCTCTTTTAGAGCCCTGCGGGATTGAGTTTTTTCGTCCCGATCCCGATCCCGTCCCGTAGGATTGAAAACCGGTCCCGATCCCGATCCCGTAAATATTTGTCCTCCTATCCCGATCCCGTCCCGTAAGCATGATCCCGGTCCCGAACCCGATCCCGTAAATATTTGTCCTCCTATCCCGATCCCGCAGGGCTCTAACAATCATCCTCTTTCTAACGGTAAAAACCCGAACTCAATAGCTACCAGATTCCCAAGTTATTCAACAAATAACTGAGTGCATTCTACTTTGAAATGGACAGTAGTTCTCTGATCTTAGGTATCATCGTGATACTCTGGTCAAAGCTTATGATTATTTGCTGGATCGACGCCTTCTTGCTGCCCCAAATTACGGCTTTATTATGCAATTGATTCGATACGAGAAGGATCTATGCAGTAAAAAGATTTGTTCAATGAATTATAAGGAAGAGGAGAAAAATTGAAAATACTGACACTATAATTCATTTTGCGCCACCCGTTATGTCTATAATAAAAGATTTAAAAAGAAAAAAATGTCGGTTGTATGTTTTGTTTGTGTTTCTTATCTCACAGTTAGTGGCGATGAAATGTACGGGTTACATAACTTTCGGCCCAAGGAATTTTCGGCCCGGACCTGCGATCCGCTCCCAACGTCCGATGATCTTTCGGTCTGGGGCTCAAAGTCCTTCATGACTTTCGGCCCGGATCCAAACTACTCCAGGACCTCCGGCTCGGGCCCAAGTTTTCCCTCTAGTCTCTGTCGGGATAAAGTGTAATAAAGCCTAGTGCACAGCAGGACGTCATAGTGCTAAGCAGCATGAATTGAGAGTACAGTACAGTTACAGCGTTAGATAGACATTTCTTTTCTATAATGTTTTGTTTGTAAAAGAAAATATTACAATAAAAATAATAATTTACACACAACAAAAAATCACAGCATACTGCTGAGCACTATGTTTTAATCTAAATGCGTACTGCTGAGCACTACGCAGTAAGCCACCTATTTATAGAAATACAGCTAAGCATCGGACCGAAGGTTCGGAGAGAACTCGGACCAGGACCGAAAGTACGACGGGCAGTTAGGTCCGGGCCGAAGACTTTGGGCCCTGAACACAAAGTCTGGGCCGAAAATTCCTTGGGCCGAAATTCCAGTCTCCCAAATGTACATACGCCCGATTTGTATAGATCTGCATTGTTTTTAAACGACAGTATAAAAAGAGAATACACACGATACGTAAAGCACCGTTTTTACAAATTCAGGAAACAAGTACAACTTACGTTCTTTTTTACTATCGTTTTTATTCACATACAAAATTTGCTGTTAGTAAGTACATAATAATTTCAGATACCGTTCGAGTACAAACAATTTTCATGTGAAATGATGAATTACTTGACAGTTTATTCGCCTTTAACTCGAATTATATCTATGCTTGACTTAAAAAGGATACGAGTGAATCCAGTCACTTGACACATAAGAAAGCTTAGCCACTGTTATGTTTAATACGCTTTGTGTCAGAACTCTGTACTCTGATTTGATAAAATTAGCATCAGAAATTTGTCATATGTACAGCTCTTTTTGACGCGTTGAAGCTCAACATAGTGCTTAGAGTCACTCTGAGGCAGTTTGAGGATACTTATATATGTATAAGGTAGCGGTACACAGTGAGCATTTTTCTATAGACCAGGCGGCCATTTCTTCCTCGAAAATGGTTCTTAGCCATATCAGTCGACGCAGTTTTTCGCGCAGAATCCGAATATATATAAATTATTCGAGTAAAGTAACATAAAGGGTAGAAAAGTCCAAATTACCTCAAAAACAAAGGGATTTTAGAAAACCTGTAACTATCGGCAGAAAACGTTGTGAGATTTTGTGAGTACTACTATACTACTCATATATACTACAGATACAGGATATACTAAGGAACAATTTGGTGAAAAAATAAGTAAGATTGCACCTCAGCTAACACGCGCGTTTTGATTATACTGTACTACACGTCTGTTTTCTTAGCGTTTTCCTTATATCACCGTGTTTTCTTTCTCGAATAATCTCATAAGGAAAAGTCACAGAATAAAAATTTTTACGCCGTTCGATCGCACATGTTACGTAGTGTTTTGTACGTAACTTGTATCCTTCTTTGTGTTAGTGCCAACAATGAATTATGTTTTCATGTTTTATTAACAAAAGCTTGTTCAGATATAATATGAACTAATACGAGTGAGTAGTAGTCTATTTACAAAGAAAAGAAACTGTCTCTCTCTCTCTGTGTGTTTTAACACGGAAAATCGATCTATTTATATATGCAATATTGCGCAATCATCTTGAATATTGTGGTGCAATAATCATGACCACATCCTTGCGTAATTACCTTGACGATGTTCTTGCGCAATTACCAATAGGTCTTTTCGAAGGGCCTCGATGAGGGCCATTTGTACTTTTTTCCAGTTGTAACTCAGTAATGTTTTCTGCTCTAGACGATACCATGATTTTGGTCCACCAAGTAATTTGAACCGAAGCCATAATCGACGTTGATCGTCGTCAATGCCAGCTGTTGAGCAGGCTTCATTGAAAGCCATAAGCCAATGGACTACATTTTGACCAACCTCACCAGTGAAGGGTAGTAATTCGCAAAACGATTGGAGTTCTGATGTCGTTAACGGTGTTAAACTTGATAATAACAAATTCTGCAAACTCAATGCCATTTGTTTCTTACCTTCTCGTTGACGTTTCCTCTCTTCATGCTATTGGCCGTGTTGATGAATTGCTGGTTGCCGTTGAGCTGCTGTTGCTTGTCGGGTGTCCACGCTCACAAATTACTATTAATCCCAATTAATCAATAAATAATACACCTACTTGAATCCAAGAGTTCAATGGTAGAACCTCCAGTTGTTACGTAGCGTTTTATACGTAACTTGTATCCTTCTTTGTGTTAGTGCCAACAATGAATTATGTTTTCATGTTTTATTAACACAACATATTTACATCAGAAAACGAGAACATTACGCCAGAGAATGAGAATTTCCAGAGTACATGAATGGGGCTTTCTACGCTTCCTAACACACATTTAACGCTGTATATTCGATACTATTTAAATCACAGAAAAGCTCCCTTTCGATTTTCGACCAAATGTCGGCCTATATGCCCACTGTGCGGTAGTCCATGTATTGACTCGTACTTGTAAAAGACGTTCCACTGACGTATCAAGTAATGGCATCACAGAGCAAAAATTACTTTTTTCTTCGAACCGCTACCATTCGATTCTTCGTACAGAATTGGTTATAGAAAATTGATTTTAAACTCTAGAACATTACTTTCGGCGAAATGTGAAATAATAAAAAATGACGGGTTTCAGTTCATCGACATGAATTTTTTGTATTAACCGATATTTTTGTGAAAATTCGTAACTATTTTAAGATGAGAGGTGTGTTCGGAAAGTATTGAATTCCACATCATTCAACCTAATTTTTCATGCTGATCACGAATATAGTGTATAATATTCGTGATCAGCGTGAAAAGCTAGTTGAACTATATTCAATAGGGAGATTGTTTTTCACATTACTCACCTTGCAAAGTGTAAATTGCAAAGTATTTCTCATTCTTGTGAAAGTTTTCTATAGACCACTAAATCTTCTGGACTAGTTAGAGCTACTCTCCCACCTGTCCAACTAAATCTTGTGCAGTAACAGAGAAATGTACAACCAAACCCGAAGGTTGGATAGAAATACAAGACACTATGGTTTAAAATCAACCCGAAATTTGGAAGGTTTTAGTGGAAAACCACAATTTAAGCGAAAAAATATAAGATTTTAGGTACAGTAGTCGAGAAAAGTTTTATTTATCTTTGAACAAAATAAAATCACAATAGTGTGATTACATGTACATGTAATACTGACAATGTAGTGTATATAACATTACAGTAGATATGCGAGAATAATTACAACAGCAAATATAAAATAAAAATAGAAAGCATTACCATGAAAAACGTGTCCTCATAACTTTTCATGTTTGTTTAATACGAATGACAAGATTGTTGAGGACAATCTTTATATACATTTTGTTTGTCTGTTAATGCACAGTGTTTATAATAAATACCAAGTTCGTTGGAAGTAAATTTTTTTCATTCTTGAACCATCATGGAAATAATGTTATTCTTTGTTAATGGATGATAATGATGTACTCTTTCGTTCCATTCATGAAAAATACCATTATCCAACGGGCTCAACCTTTTTGCTGCTTTAGTTGGCTCTTCTATCTCAAAAGAACCACCTAAATGAAAATTTTCCGTTATAACGGAAAATTAAAAGACGTTATAACGTCTTTTTATTGTTAATTGAAGATTTGTCCAAAATTAAATCCATCAGATAACTATCTGATTCACTAAAAAAAATTTTTGCCAATGAATCTTGAATGTAATCATTTATCATTCGACTATTACTGCAGCGTACCTTTCTACTTTTTCGATCTTCCGGCGTAATATGAAGCTTGTCCTCAACAATCTTGGCATTCACAATAAACAAACATGAAAAGTTATGCGGACACGTTTTTCAGGGTCCTGCTTTCTCTTTTTATTTTATATTTGCTATTTAATTATTCTCGCATATCTACTGTAATGTTATATACACTACATTGTCTCTATTACATGTACATGTAATCACACTATTATAATTTTATTTTGTTGAAATATAAATAAAATTTCAAAAGGGGTAAAATACTTTTGTCGTCTACTGTAAAATACATGAAGTTTTAAATGATACTTTTGTACGTAATCACCCGAAAACCAAAAAGAAGAAAATCCGTAGACAAAGTTTAAAAGGCATAAGTCGGATACGGGTCTGGAACGGCTGAAAACAAATTTTCGAATCACATCTCTCCAGTAGAGATGATGCAATAGTTGTCGTTGGCACTGTGAATATTGGACATGAACCCGCAGAACATGCACTTGAAAAAACAAAACATCTAGTTGAAACTTTCAAGCATTGCTATCCGAAATGTGCATTAACATTATCAAAGATTCCATATCGGTATTGTGATACGTATTTCGCATCTGC